CCATCACCACCATCGTCACCATCATAACACACATCAGTGTAACTCACAAAACTAGGACCCATCATAAACTGGCCACTGATAGGTCTGTTGGCGGGAATATTAATCGGTACGGTAAAAGGGGAATACGCCGTAGCGTATTCAATCTCTGGAACCGGAACTTCATCCGATCCGGATGGCATATCCGATCCGTATCCGGCCATCCGGATGATATTCCAGGCTCGGAACTGACGAGCAACGAAAAAACAGATGACCATTTCAGCTATTCCGCTAATGGCAGCTAAGACTGGCATAGCTATTTTGATCCTGCCAGCTGATTCAGATGATTTGGCTCCAAGGCAAGCTACTGACTGAAAAGTGAATTTTTGTTACTGACTGAAAAGCGAATTTTAAAAATTGTGTGAGATTTTTTTTTCTTTGTGGAAAGATGGCAGTAGAGTTTTCGGTTTTATTAATATCCTAATTAATAACTTATAAATTTGTATTTAACATAAATTCTATTACACAAATTAAGTCTGAAAAATGATTTAATGAATGAAAATTATATGTAGTAAGATAAGGCGCTTTTAACCACAATGAGCATTACAATTCTGATGGATTTCAATTACAATTTTCCTTAAAAAAACATACCTAACATTCAATACAAAACTAATTATGATCAGTGACATCAAAATTATGTGATAATTATAAATAATAAGGATGAAAAAAGAACCCCAACCCCGGCCAGGCTGATGAATTCGAAGATGATCTGCAGAGGAAGAAGAAGAAACATTACAATCAGTAGCATGTACTTCAGATCACTGGTCTGAAATTGTGAGATTATTCTTTAAACTATTATTCATACTAAATGCTAAATGTTTAATTAGTATCTTCGCTATAACTAGTATTTTATTTAGTTTAACTTTAGTATAATTTATTCACAAAGAAGTAACCAATGATTGAAGGCTTTCTGGAATTAAGCATAACATTCACAAAATTTAACTACATCGGTAGTGTAATTGTTAGGATGCCTCGCACAGTTGTTGCAGTACCCGGGTTCGAGCGCTAACCTATCACGTACAATGTAGTTAATGCGTTTGTTGTCGGTGCAACTGAAAAATACTAAAATAATAATAATTATTATGAATAATAATAATAAATATAAAAATTAAACGAAATGTAATTATTGTTCTGAAAAGAAAATAAATTTGAAAATGAATTTTCTAACTCTGTCAAAAGTCATCGCGAAGTTTACATACATTCCGAAGAGGAATACCTGCATACAAAATGTATATTTTGATTTTATAATTTGGTCCTTCAATGTATCAATGTAATATTTGCGTAGATATAGGCATGCAAATGTGTAATTTTTTGAAATATAAATTGAAAGTTACATAACTGAAAGAAAGCAGATATAAAATTAAAAAAATTGGCCTATCTGCAAACATACAAACACCACAAACTGGCACGCACACACACACACACACACACACACACACAACACACACACACACACACACAGCCCATACCACACACACACACACATACACACACACACACACATACACACACACACTAACCAAAAGCCCAATCCAAACCCCAG